GCAGAAGTCATGAATACAGTATGTTCATGTGCGCAAAAATTACTACCAAAATAATCATCTAACAAGCAATTATTCATATTGTATTATAGCTAACAAGGAAAAAAATTGACCTTTCTGTTGAAATCTGAATGAGAAAGGACTAATTTCAATTAATACTTGCTCTCGAATTTGAAAAGTTGATTCCATACATAATAGTAACAGTAATAATGAAAACAATAATAAGGCAAATGGAAATGTATAACAATGAAGATGGCCAGATAAAAACAACTATTACCCTGTACTGTTTGAAAAACATACATAATTTACAGCTGCTTCTGTTGTGGAAATGATAGCTGCTCTTTTTCTGATTTATATTCTGCCCGAAGCCATGCTACTGCTGTGGCTATATATTCTGATAGTAAACATAAGCTCGAATCAACAGCAAGTGGCCCACATATATGATCCAAATGCTTTATGAGTTCTAGAAAAAAGAGCTTATCACAAAGCATGAATCATTTTATAAAAGTCTGGTTTGTCGTCATTGACAGATCTTAAATACCAGAATTATACGCAGATTATCTAAAAATGAACAAACAACCTTTCTTAATTTTACTGCTTCATGATATAAATTTTTAAATCTATGACAAAAACTTGAACATATTGTTTCTCTAAAATATAATTAGAACCACTGACCTAGATCAGAATCCGATATTTTGCACAATGCTTGCTTCCATAACCGATCGGACCACATTAAATGATGAAGTATACTAAGCTGTGAACGCTGAGTCTGATAGATGCAAACAGGAACGGACATCTGAAATACTTTTTTAATAAATACTGAAAAACTTCTGACCTTTCGTATACAAAGTTAGAATGATCATTTTGCTAACATAAAATTATGAACCTCTATGCTGTACAAAGTTTCATTGCTTATTACCAAAAATTAAAACTATTAATGAATGTGAAAGTGATAATGTGAAAAAATTAGAGAAATATAGAACTCAATATTAAATAATTGAATACTTTTCATTTGTTTCCTAAAAACTTGCGGATATTACAGTAACTAACTTCTTTCTGTCGCTCTCCGTGACCACTGTTGATCGAAGAAGCTGGAGAGGGAGTTTCAGTATTTACAATGGAACCAGCTTGTGAGTTAACTGATGTGGCTCCATCGTTGCGCATCGCTACTGCATCCAACTCAATCAGCTGTGATTCCCATTTAGTAAGAGCTGAGAAATTGGACAAAAAAGTCTGCAAATGTCATATATACACATATATATATAAGTTGGTAAATGTTGTCTAAAAGATGCAATGAAAATAGATGAAGAAATGAATTGAGGCCTCGATGAAGTTTGGATGGGAGGCAATTCGCTATCTTTCTGCTTCAAATTATGCACAAACTCACTCCTATCTTAAGCGAATACAGAGAATAATGCAGAACGGCCTGCACACGAGAAGACAACAATCTGAATCGACTGATGAAATGTAACTCTATTTGCGAGAGAGTTGTCGATGGCGCACTTGACCACTTCACAATGGTTCTGAAATTAAATCACTCTAATGTCACACAATGAAATCAAATACATTTCAATGCTACAAAAATTTGAATGGTTGCGTTATTCGCTGTCTTCTTTTCAGAAAGAGCTGAAAAAGTTGGATTTAGTCAAAAATAACTAACTTCATCAATTCTGCGCTGTCTCGTACCACTGCATATTGCCTTTGTTTATTTTCTTTTTCCACTGCTGATGAAAGTATGAAATACACTACAGCATCCATATAACCAAGCGTTTTACGTACGTGGTCTGTGGACTAAATACATAACATTTCATTTCATGTATATGGTCACCAAGTACCAAGTATGGAAAAGAAAATGGTCAAGAGTAAAACCAGAATGAGCGATAATTTGGGAAAGCATCACCTCTTTGTCTGCCCGATGTTTCAGTGGTCGAGCAACTTCTTCAAGGTAATAGGTAGCATGCTTTAAAGAGCCATCTTCGTTCCTATCTAATGCAGCTTTTCGCGTGGGTGCTGTGCGAATTCTGCAGCACACGAAATCTCCCTGAAAATAAATGTATTGCAGATAAGTGAACAAAGCAATTATTGCAATAAAACTCGAAAACGTTACTTTGAATTTCCATATCACTACTGTGTAAGAACAAAAGGTAATTATCTAACAAAAGCCAAACACAAGCAGTACTTTTGCAATCAAAAATTTTAATTGTACGTATCAAAAAACTCGCGAAATTATTTAATCACTGATTATCTTTTAACAGCTGCGAGTGCCATCAAGCACACAATAATTAGCAAGCAGAGCTGACTTAATGAAGGAATTATTCTTGCGAATAGTTTGAAAAAGATATAGCTTTTCCGGGAACGAAATGGAAATTACCCACCTGCACAGCGGCAGCACTACAATGACTGCCAGCAGTAGCATCCATCCTGGATCTTTTCGCTGGAGCTGCTTTTTCATCTTTACTTGTTGTACTCATCAAGCCTTTTACAGATGTGTTATCCTCCTGACTGCCGCAATTGCTAGCATCACTACTACTTCCGGTACACCACTGCTTAGTTACAGCTTCACGTTCGCATACTGGCTCATTCTTAATTTTTGCGTCCTTCAGCTCAACTATTTTTTGTTGATCTTGTTCACTACACTCTTTCGCACTCTTCTTCTGCTCATGTCCAGTCAATTTTTTGAATGGAGCATGCGCACGTTTAAGATGTACTGGTGTTGGCGCACGTGTTCGCGTATTCGGCGCTAGTTCAACAATAAAACTGCTCGAACTGTCTTTCTCTTTCGAACTCTCTTTCGTACTTGACGTGGTAAATGGAGAAGAAGAAGTCTTTTCGGACTGAGTAGCTGATTTCTGTAATACAATCTTTGTTCTTCGATTAAACAAACAAATAAGTTGGGTTTCTTAATTAACGTCAATTTAAGTAATAATTACTGCGCATGATTTACTCCGGATTACAAACCTTTAAGAGCTTAATTTTCAGACCATCATTTTTGAGCGTAGTTAACTCATGACTTCTGTCGGCAGATGATGATGAACAGTTGACTGAATCATCCTACAAATCACATTAAGCTATATCTAGTTACGAATTAGATGGCCTAAGATAATACAGATACATACTAAGAACAAATCTAAATTCCTTACATTTCTTGTATTATATATTTCATCTAAAACTTCTCAAGAAATTGTGTAATCAGTAATGGATGTATAGAATTAAATCTAAAATGTTTATACCTTTTTTGAATGATTAGTGGTTGATATTTTTGCTTCCACATTACTTTTTCTGGTGGTGTTACTTCGTGTGGTTTTCGACTTCTGTTTGGTATCTGAAGGATGTGAAGGACGTGATTCACAAGTGGTAACTGCTTCATTTCTTGATGTCGGACGAACCGGAGGTGATAAGACAGAACTGGGTGCGGTAACCGCCGACAAGTACTAAAGTAGCAAAGTATTTACAGTCAAAATAACCAGGTATGGACAACATCTTAGAAAGATGTCAGATGTTTTAAAATCTCTGTAAGATGACTGACTTCAATAAATTTTCACATCGGCCTACTACTCCATATGATTCTTTAAAAGAGTCAGAACTGATTTTATTGAGGTTAAAAATGAATGTGCTATACAAAACTCCAAATCATAAATTGAATAAAGATGCAGGTAAACTTCAATTTTTTTGATTCCAAGGTTCTGGAATAGTCAAACTACCAATCTAGTCCGTCCTTGTTCTTTCATGCGTCAGACTCAGCTTACAAACAATTAGACTATTGGCCTAGAGATTGGTTATACATGAAGCAAACTTACGGATGAAGCATTCGATTTATACGAGTTCAAAATATGCGCGAGCTGAGCATCATCTAGTCGTCCAAGATTCATGATCACAGGAAGAGTTGGACGACCTCCATTTTTCAATTGCCGCGGTGGTGTTAGTAGGGGTGAAATTTGACTCACCTCACCTATTATACTTTGCACACGCCTGAAAAAAATATAGTAAAGTTAATCACCAAAATATTGTTATCAGAAGCTTTCTCACTACTTCAACTGTTATAGTCTACTGGATTTACGAAACTGAAATGAATGAAAATAGAAGTTAAGAGCACTTGTTATTAACAAAACTCTATCAATCTTTTTTTTCTAAAATATAGCAATCTGAAAAACGTGAAGTGAGAATTTCGTTTTGCTAGTGTTACAGTTGAAAATTATCGCATAGTTGACCTGATAGTAAAAGAGAGGATTGAAGAGATTAGTGAATCTTTTAAAATATGTAAAATCTAACAAAACTTTATAAAAATAAAAAGTCATGAAAGAAATTCGCGCTACAAAAAAACACTTACGGTTGCCTCTGTTCGCGAGCGTTCTCGTTTGCTTCTTCAGAAAATCCGGAATCAGGGCTTTTTTGGGCTTCTTCTGGAGCTTGTTCCAATATCTTTTTTTCAGTGTTCTTCAGTAGACCTTCAGTCTGCTTCTTTCCATTTTCTACGTTTACCTTCTCTTCCCCGAACAGCTCTCTCATTGACACCTTAGTATCATTTGATTCTGCCTTAAAAAACCACATGTTCCACATTTAAGTAAGTTCCATACAACATATTTAATTATCTTTCGCTTCACACAGACTTTCTCGTCTGCTTGCATTGCTATCAGAAAATGGTTTCGCTCCAATATAAAAAGTTAGTGCCGATTACAATGAAGATCAACTTCAACTTAGTACTGTTCAAACATCTGATATTGCAAAGAAAAAAAAGGAAGCAAAACAAACACATTCTGATAGTTTGCGCGCATTAATAAAAATGAATTACTGAAAAAACTGAAAGAAATATAAATCATTATTGGAAATATTTTATTCATAATTCTTCCAATCAATAATTTCCCCCTATCAGTAATCATTGATTTCTTTTGAAAAATCAGAAAAGATTACTTTTGGTGATGCTCTTACACATAACTTCTGCCAATTTTCGGTGTCGGCACTGTTACAATCACTTCTAGAAAAGGTTCATGATTCAATGTCTTCCACACTACGAAAAGGAAGGAAATGAACTATCCTCATGCTTGACCTTTCAAACCTTTAAATTTCCGAAATTTGCCTGATCTTTAAGGTCAAACATGCCAAGAGATCAATTCCCACATATATGATGAAATATTCAGATTTCCACTGAATTATCATCTCAATCAAACGGACCTTTTCCTTTTCCGTTTCTTGTATGCAATGTCATCAGAGCGACCTGATGCTGATGACAATTTATTGCTGCCTGAATCAGTGGTATTATTTATAGAGCTAGTAGAAGGTACGTTGGATTCTGGACCCTTCATCACTTTCTGCTTTCTTTCTTGGTTCTGAAATACATATTTATTTAATATTTCACAGAGTGATAATAAGCCGCAATTTTCATTATGCCCTAAAATAAAGTTGTAATCTAGATTACTATAGTAGATAGTAATTACTTCTTATACAGTTAATTTCCTATATGTTTTACGCAGGTCATTTTCATGAAAGTTCACTTATTACAACAATTCTCTACAAATATCATATTTACCCAATCTCTAACAACACTTTTTAAACAATCTCTTTTTCCTAAATATGAATTTAAAATTTCGCATAATTTTTCACTTAATTGGCTCATTCGTAACAAATTTTCCGAACAATTTTACATAATTATAATCTATGATCAAGCTCCACGGAGTAGAATATATTTAAGATTTTCGCCTTCAGGATTTTCAGAATTAGAAATCTCCAGTAATTTGTCAAGTAATCTTCCAAGGAATTTTCAGCAATTCAGAGATTAATAATGGTAACATTGTCAAAGAATTGTGCTGGAATCATACACTAACCTTTTTAAAAGGAAGATTAGTCTGAATTGTTGATAAGGGGGCATCAACTATGCTTTGCATCTTCTGAAAGACAACTAAGATTGAAACTTCGAAACCTTCAAGAATTGATTTTCCAAATGATTACACGTTTAATAAATCACTGCACTTTTTAATTGCAGCGAACGGAAACATATTTACGTATTTTGAATTTCGTTTTAAGTGATCAAAAATGAATTAAAGGTGAAGTGTTATCTACATAGTTTCCTAATTAACACTAACCAGCGAGTTTAGTCTAGGAATAAATCAAGTTATTAAATTTTAGGAACAAACTAAGACAAAATAAGATTAGATTTGTCAGTACTCTCGTTAACTCAGGAAAGTAATACTTAGGGAGTTTCGCATACTTCAATCATATATTGAATTTGTTTGGTTTTTTCATGCATGGTTATTATTTCAAAAAGCATTTAACGAAGGAATTTAAAAAAAATTATTACTACCTGTGCCATCTGCACGGCAGTCAGTTGTGATTGAGAAGTTGTTGAAGAAGATGAAGGAGTAAAGGTGGGGCGAAGCGGTTTGATCGGTGAATGTACGATACCAAATAGACCTGAATTATTTGGACCATGTTGTGAATTTACAATAATATCTGCCATTTTATCAAATGGACCAAGACCACCTGAAATATCCTCTTTTTATCACCAATAATTTTTTTGTAAATAATAAGAAATAAAACACAATTTTCAACTTATTCTATAATTCAAAATTTAATGTGAAGTTTTAACTTTCATTGTTTGACCTTGCATGAGATTTATTCCGTTGATGTCATTTAAAAAAAAAAAAAACTCATACTATTTCAGCTTAATATGAATATTAAAAATTTTAAAGACTTGAAATATACTTTAAATAATAAAGGAGTATAATATCTTAATAAATTGTGCCATTTGGGAATGAAAGCTAAAAATTCTTCAATACTGATGACATAAGATGGATGCCTTAATATCATTTATATTATTTATTCAATTTTTATTTTCGAATTTGATAACTTTGAATCGTATTTTATGCAAAGTCTTAATCTTAAAAAATATATGAAAAAACAACTTATACTACTTCAGCTTAATATGAATATTAAAAATTATTAGAGGGAGTAGAATCGTGTAAAGTTTCTTCCTAAGACTTAGGTAAACTAATTAAAGAAGTAATAAAAATTATAAGCAAAACGCTATAAAATGAAATTTTCCTAAACTGACGAATAATATTCATCAAACGTGACTACATACTCTCTTTGAAAATTAACTACAGGTACAGGCATGATTACTCATCTAGGCTCTATAAAATGCCAAGGTAGAATCCTCATTCAGTTGTTTTGTAACTGTCATCACAACTTGAATACTTTAAGAATTTTTAATCTCAAAATCATATACTTTGAAACGTTGCATGTTTGCAGGCTTGTCAAACAATACTTATGAGGCTCGTATACTTACTATTAATTACAATTAAATTTTTCAAAATGAAAAGGACGGATGATGAGAAGGATTGTATCCCCCAGTAAGTAATCGCACATACCGACGAGATTTTCGCGAATTCTCGCGAATATCGGTTGGCAATCTTCAATGAGCCCTTGAGAATTTTCGCTTTCAGGATGAATCATTCTTACTTCTTTTCAGCTGTATTCTTTTGATCGCAATTATCTGTAAGCTCAGCCCAAGTTAGCTTTCTTTACTTATTTTCTGTACAAAGGTATAGAAAAGCGACTACAACGATGAAGCAAAGTCTTGACTGTTACAGAGATACACTTGAATAAATTTCCCGCAACAATGCTTGTATTTTGTACACAAAAGTGTTATTTTCAATTTAAAGCAGTATACTTTGTTTTTGCTTTGAGACAAAAAGTTAAGAGAGACATTTGCAGAGAAGAAGCATACTTACTTAATAACTCACTCCTAAGGCCCTTTGCTGTGCGAGTTTAGTACCGGTGAATATTTGCCCCGCATTTTCGCGGAATGCTCAGAAGACAAGTGATAAAGAAATTTTAAAAAACCTGATACTTCACTTCTTATTGATTCTCCATAATGCGGTCGGTACTGGCGTGTTAATAGAAGTATGAAAACTCTGAGAGAAAAAGACAAAGAGAAAAGAGATAGAGAGGGAGGGAAAGACAAGCAAAGCAGAGTGTAAAGAGTGTGCTTAGGGCTATACCTGTGTCTCTCACATCTTTCACGTACACTTTTCTCTGCCCCTTTCTACCTCTTAACCCTATCACGCAGTGTCAGAGAGAGAGAAATTCCTCCAATCTCCCTCGCAGACAGTGCATAGACAATTAATTCTGAATACTCTCTCCGTGCCTCTTTTTTGTTTACAAAAACAATCTCACACTATGCATGATAATACTTGTAATTTGCAACTAATTACACGCCATTACTCGTGTGGCACGATACCATTTCTGAGGAATATGCGTACACAACACAATATATTATCACCAAGAAGTGCAGACATTAGAAGAGAAAGACGAGCGGGCAAGAACGATGTTACTTTTCGCGTCTCATAAATGTGTCCATTACCGCCCTTTTTATCAAAGCAGACAAAAATTAAAAGGTTAAAGGTAATACGCTAAAAACTATCAATTTCTTGTTTTTACGGATACAATTTATAGCAGTACGTAACACATTAATCTAATAAATAACTATTTATTGTGTGTTGTAAATTGTATTCAGTCATGGATGATGCCAACTAATTATGTACGTTATTGCTCAAAAAAGTTCAAAGAATAATTTTTAATGAGATAATATTAGGGTCAAAACAAGATGTTCAAAACTCCAAATTACTGCATCTTACTTTATTCATTACTGAAACTTACAAGTGTAAAATTAGCTACTTTACTAATGCAAAGTTTGTATTATGCCAAAACTCCGAATTATCATTTTTGAAATTTTAAAAAGTAACACTTTGAAAATGATATCAGTATTGATTATAACCATTAAGTGCACTGCACTGCTCAATCATATCATAACCAATGCAAATTTGGTGATCAACAAACCTTTTTATCAGTACTTATATCAATGAAGGGACCAAAGTAAGTAACTTACACCATTATCTCACCACCAACATGCTTCTATTACTTATTTGCAAAACACCTTATAATTAGAGTAAGCAATGTTTTTAGTTGCAAACTAATCCTTCTTTATCATTCCATATATGGTAATAATTAATAATTTAAGCGTACTGAACGAGAGAGGACTCTGAAAGGTTTCTTTCGGTAACGATATGAAGTGAGAAAAATTCAGAGAGAAAAAAGCAAATATAGTGAGTGATGAACGCTACGACGGAAATCGCCAAAACAACTTTTTGTGGTAACCGATCAAAGAACTACTTTCGTATTACTTGTAGTGCATTTTTGATGAAAGGTTAACTTTTGCTATCAATAAGCAATCAATTGTTGCTAAACCGGTAATTTGATCAATCAATAGCGAAGACTGTCTTAGTTTAAAACATGAAGCTAGCAGTGAACGAAAACTGCTAACTCACAAACTAGCGCAGGAATTAACCAAAAAATTAGTTTGCAAGACTGATAAATTTAAGAATTTAGCTTATTCAGTGTAAACGTCTCAAGGTAATGAAGTAAGTAATTACACCATTATCTTGCTCATCAACATGCTTCCACTGCTCTCTGTATGAAAATTTCTAATACTTTCAATACTAGAAAAAAATGGATGAGAAAAAATTATTGTTACTACTATCACCGTTGTTATTAGTACTATTATTATTACTATCATTATGATTAGTATTTGCATTGCTAATATAACTTTCATATAGTACATTACTAACTATAATAACTCAGGATCATAACAATGATTATCTTACGTTGTAGGTAGTACTAATTTATAATTATTAGTTCCGCTGATATTGACGGAATTATTCCTTTTATAATAAAAAAATAAAGTTAGTTTTTGTCAGTTAAAAGTCAGAAAATGGACAAAAGTAGTGTTGATTCTTTGCTTGTTGTTGTCATGCAGATCTAAAGTATACTTGTAAGCAAATGAATAAAAGTCAGAAGCGAAAAATAGCAAGTTGAAATCGTGTAGAATAGCCTTATGTTTTTATTATCGTTCTACATTCAAAATGGATTAAATTGTAAACAAACAAGAAATTACACAATGTCCAAAAAAAGAACTTTGGAAGTCTAAAATAGTAGTAGTAGAATCACGACACCTTTTAATGCTGCTGCTTAAGTTACTTGCATCTTAGTTTAGTATAAGTTTAAGCCAAAATTATGCTAATTAGATCCAAATAAAGTGCTAAAACTTTTCGCTTTTTGCCTTACTCAATTCTTAAATTTAAAATACTCGTTTTCCAAAAAACATGTTGCTAATCGACTCATCAAATGCATGAAAAAGGAATCCAACACAAAAACCAAGATCAAATTTTTTTAAGTAAATATCAAAAAAATTTTGCATAATTGCTAAATATTTAATATTGAGTATTCAAGTAAGTTTACCGAATTTTCTTTGCTTTGCCCTGCCACGTTTTTCTTGCATACCAGCACTGCCGTGCGCATGAAACACGCACTGCTTCATTCATGGTGCAAAAGTCAAATTTGCTTTTGATTAAACACTAGACGCAAGATGACAAACCACGTATTGCGACAACATCGAAATAAATGGAAAAATGAAGCTCATAAAAATGATTTTTATGCATTTTTAAAAGTGTTTGAACAAAATTTGATCTCTCTAGTTAAAATAATTCCATATTCTACACTGCTCGCTAACACAGTAATAATAGAATATCTCGCCCATACTCTTCCATCTCCGGCAAAAATAAACATGAAGGATGCACATTCAGAAGGAATTAATCTTCCAACTTATATTTTTCTCAAATATTTGAGAGAAGTGGCAATAAATTTGCCTTGTTAAGCAGATAACTGACAAGAGAAGGAGAAAATGCATTATTTCCCAGACTCTACAGAAATGTTTAAAAAAATTCAGAAATATGATAGAGTCAGGCAATGAATTGACATGGCTGAAAGGTAATTCAAAAGATGGGATTATTATTGACATCATTTCCATGTAATGCAAAAAGAAAACAGACAAGATAGTTTGGTTTGAGGATGACCCACTGAGAGATTCAAATGCCTGACCTCATCACTGACGAATGACAGATTGACGACGAATGACAGATTGACAAGCGAAGAGATCTGCCGGAGTTAATTATGACACTTTCTTCTCACAAGCTGTACAAATCCGAAATGTCAGAAAAAGCACTAACAGATTATACAGTGAGATAAGGTGACCTTTGATCTCGTGACGACATCATAAAAGGAAAAATACTTGGTAAGATTTTTCTGGATAACAGAACACTGACCACAACCGAAAATAATTATGCTTGTTTTTATAATGTAGAAAGCATTGCAGGCAAATTTAAGAGATCGTATTTGTGATGACTAAACTAAAGTTAATTGATTAATATGGATGATTAAACAAAAATAATTAGTAGAACTTATCAAGTTATGCAAATGCATCTAATATATGTTCAAAACACATGATATATTCATCAATTTAGCCAAAACTGCAAACTTTTGAAAAAGTTTTGCTGCACTAAATATTAGTCAGTTATTTAAGCAATAAAAAGTATTTTGTGCAGGAATAGTCCTGTTATGATCATTTTCGAACAAAGCAAACAAAAAATGAAAGATATATATTTGCATATTATTAACTGATCACTGCATTAAATGCACTAATCAATGTACTTCTGTTGATAAGTCTCACTATAAATAATAATATTCACAGTAATAGATAGATAATTCCTCTAAATCTAAATGAACTTTAACCCAGTACTTTTGATAAATACAAAACATAAATGAAAGCAACAAATCTTCTAGCAAAAAACTGATCTGAGAAGAGTGCAAAGGTACAGAGTTATAAGTTCACAAACGTATTAAGAATATATCACTGCTAAAAAAAGCAACACGAGGATCAGAAATAACAAGTAAAGATTTAAGAGGTAACTATCACATCCCTATAAGGTAATACTTTATTTTCCTAACCGCTCAGCAATGGCTAACTAAACAGAACTGAAATGGAACGATAATAATGCATATCCCTTCCTTCCCTCCCATATATCCTCAGATATCCTCAGAATGACACTCCTACAGTGGAAGGTCAGAGTTCAAACTGTAAATGAAGAGAAGAGTGTTTTCTTAATGTAACTACGAAAGGAATGATAAACAAGAAGTAAAAGTCAATTTGAAAAAAGACAGATAAATGCATAATACATTACATTAATACGCTGCTGCAAAAGTTCACCTTTCACACATATTTGTGAGAAAGAATTTAATTGTTGAAACTGCAATCAGAAAATGCTGCTAAAGTCTGCATCAACAACCCTTTTCACGTTCTAATACGCAAAGTGAAAAGCAAAAAACGACTCGTTTGAATTTCACTTAATTCGTATAGAAAGTAAGACGGTAAAAAGTTCCATTTCACTGACATTCGTTGAATACGCAAAGATAAGAGAAAAGCAGGCAAACACATTTATTAATTTCGCTGAATAAAACCAAAGGACTTAATAGTTCAGACATTGGTGCACTTTTAAGGTGCATTCGAGAAGTAACGGGCAGGAAGTTTGTTCCGTTGCCCAACTCTGCCAACTTCCTTCCTTGCACAAAAATTAAGCATTTACTGCATCGAAATACTCCCCAGTACTTTGTTGCTTAATATGCGAAGCTATTTGCAACTAAGAAAATATCTTCGCGCAATTTCATGCGAAAAGCAAACGTCTAAACTAAACGCAGCTAGCTCCACGGCGATATTTTTACAAAACCGCAGCAATGAAATGTAATAGAAGTCATTAGAAGTCAGTGAAGTAGTCAAGTTTGTTACATTAAAAAAAATAAATGATACTGCAAAACAGTCTTTACTGTAAAAATAGTACTATTATTTAAAGTACTAATAAAAGGCTAGTAACAAGTTGATATTATGATGATAAAGTGTGGGGAAATTTGCAAGAAAAGTAAGCAAAGTACTGAACTGTTGCAAGGAATAGATTAGAAGCATTTCAGATTTGAACTAAGTGGTCAGTACGAGAAGTTTGATATTTGCAGGTCAAGATTAGTCTCGTATCTCAAAAAATATACAATTTTCTAAGAAGAAATGTTTGGGACGGATGTGTACTCACAACTGTAAAGTGTCATAAATCATATCAACATGAGCTCTTGATTACTTCTATAATACCCAAATTGGCCAGCTGCGAAATTTCTGTTAATCTCTTGCACAAAAGAAACATTTTTCTTCTTTGAATCAAAAATATGTACCGAGCAGAAACTGTCAATCATAAAAATTTTCAGGCCATATTTTCAAGCACTTTATCAGAATCTCTACACAAGTGGAAACTTAGGCTATCGATGCAAACATATTACAATGCAACTTATTTTCTGTATGCCAATCAATACAGAAAATTTTATGTGTTAAATTTACAGTGCGGAGTTTATTCTGCGAAATTTATTTCTACAAAATTTAATCGCGCTAAGTTATCACCAAAATATATCATTCATATGTATAGTCTGCAGAAATTTTAGTTCATTTTCCACTTTGAAATGTCAAAAGAAATGTATGACAGTGAGAAAATGGCCTAAACTCAGGTAATGCGTATCACTAATTCAGTAAATCCTTTTGTAACAGAAACATACATCCTTAATTTTCATGGCAATATCTTCTAAGAGAGAGAAAAAAGAAACTCACAAATAAGAAATATTTGAGAAAGAGAAGAAAATGAACAAAGAATGTCTGATGAACAAATATGTATTCAAAAAAATGCGTAGTTATTTTCTATGAGGTGTTTTGTTGACAAAGTCAAGAGTGCTTAAAAATTTGAATTCTTGATACTCTGTGGGATCAGTAGGTCGAAGGTTACCTTTTAAGGTCATCAAATCCTTTGTGAGTCATAAACTAAACAAAGCCCATCAGCAGACATGGATGGCTTTTACTTCTTTGTTGTAATCAGTTGTATTTTAAAGGCCTAATGAACTCTTTTACAGCCATGACCTTCTTTTAGCTCTTTCTTGACATTTAACAATAACTGCTATGTGATAAATAGGAAGAGTGAATAAAGAGATTATCTCACGAAAATGTTGATAATATATGGGAATGAGAATGTTATTTTTATAATTCGTTCTGATACTTTGAGCATAATTTATTAATTTTGTTGTGTATTCTTATGGAATTCAGAATTGGCATTACCTTCTGCAATCCAAAGTAATGCCATAGATTCTTTCCATTACCACGGTGAGCAAAAAAACAATAAATTGAAGCGCTATCTGCAGACAAATCGTTTTTTTGGTTTCTTATTCACTTATTCAATTTAATAATGATTTGTAAATTCAGAATTTTCATTTAAAATTAATCATTACAATTTGCATAATTATAACTGAATAAAGTTTGTAAACGTGGTCGCATTGCGTTGCAATTATAATTAATATACAGATGAGAAATTTTGCATTTGCTCTGCTTCAACAGAAATGTATGCGAATAGCAAACTTGAAATGGAAATAAAGTAATATTAGCAGCACTTGAAATCAAACGTTAGAATCGAATACTTTTAAAGAATTGTCTTCGAACAAAAAAGCCAACTTCGCCTACGGAAAAACCAACTTTACCTATGAAAAAACCGGCTTATTTTCTCGAAATCAAAAAAGTGCGGCCACACTGAATTCAGAATGATATAATCGCAGAGAATAAATCAAAAAGTAAAGGAACGCAGCTTCTGTGAAAAGATTTTGGACCATTTTTTAAAGTTAAAGATTTGCGAAAAACGTCACAGTTCGACGCTTCAATGATGAGACGCATAATTTGTTGCAGTTTTTAAGTCAAAACCTATCGATTAGTGCCAAAAATCACAGAAAAATTAATCAAAATTTGTGATAAATTAATGTGCTATAAAAGAGCGCACAAAAACTGTTGCTATAGAAAGTTTACCAAAGGATAAAGTGAAAAATTATGCTGAAATCACAAAACGATTTGCTTTTTTCCTTTTTTTGGCTTTCATTTAAAATAGAAAATAAAGTAAACTTCTTGTCCGTTATCAGTTTAATATTACCTCACTTCTGTAATCGAGGAAAGTGATAAGATTTCCGTTTGAAACAAAGCAAATACCTCTGACCTCATGTTGAAAGTAAATTTGTACACAGGCAAAGTAAAACACAAGCTTTACCTTTGATTTCATATACATATCATCAGAGCTGTCAACCTCTTGGAACAACTTACACAAACAAATTAACTGTGCTATCCCTTTCGGCTCATCCTCCACCACAATATATTTAAACTTTAAATTATCCAAAAATTTAGGGTTCACATGCAAATAGCTCATAAAAATGATCTGAGGACAGAATGAATTGAAAATTACTTTTGAATGGGTCAAGCACGTGAAATTAACATATGGAAGATAAATGAAATATAGTCCTCAGTGTAACGGCAAAAGATTGCAATGGCTGCAAAGACATTTATCTCCAAGAAGCTACCATTAACAAATTCTAATTAATAGCTGACAATTGTTGCCTTAAAGTCAAATAGAAATTGTATTTTCATAGTTTTAGCAGTAAGTTTCAAGCATTTTCGAGATCAGATCAGAAAGCACCGCACAGAGGCTCAAATTCCTTCTCTTTGACATATCTAAATTTTTTTTTCAAGAGAAAAATTATTAGTTCAATTCTGAACTCTCCACGCCTTTCTAAACGTAATGTAAATGTTCAAGTCAAATATTTCCTCCGAAAGATAGAATAAAAGTTGTAAGTTTCAAAATTTTTTGGTGCATTTTATGATGTAGTCTTGAAGTGCCAAGTTTCATGGCTAGAGTTAATTCATTTGATGGTAAATACCTTCATTATAACAAGTCCAGTTGTCCGGAAGCGCAAGATGAACTCCCATGTCAAGTTAAAAGCTCCTCAAGGCAATAATACGCACACGTCATTTTTCAAGAGACTTTTTTCAATGGGATCGAAAATTTCAAACTGTCTCTTTGTCAGGTTCATATCAGCTTGCTATATCTTCTTCAAGTGAACTAGTGAGAATAGCATAGTGGAAACACTATTGTATGCGTGGTATGAGTGGGTTTCTGATGAGCAAACTGGGTCGCTACTACAGTTCAGTAGAAAATTTCGTGTATCGATTTTTTAGGTATAGTAAGTGAGTAAGTGAAATCTTGTTAAAGTAAAAAAATGGACATTTGCTGATAGATTGTCGGATTTCTTTCAGCATTTAATTTTAAATAGTTCTTTTCACTTATGCAAAAAATTGCCTCTTATCAAAGCTATGCAAAAGAATGAATATTTGAATATCGTTGTACGGATGTTGAAATCTAAGCTGATTCTGCAAAGCCTCTTGGCACTAAGAGCTTTGCAGAATCAGCCTAAATTTTTCACTATTTTCATTTTTTTCTTCAATTTCAGCTTCATAGAAATATTTTGCTTGATTGTAATATTATGGCAAATGCGCAATTACTAGTTTGGAAAATATTTGCGGGTGTTTTGTTCAGTTACTTTATAGTTTGTAATTGTCAACAAGTTTCGAGAAGTAAGTGTAAATTGTTTCAATGTAGTATATAAGTTAAAGCTTTTTTTCAATTTATTTATTGCAGTTTCATAGTGGAAATATTTCTTGCTTTCAAACAGTTTATTAATTTTCAAGTCAGCACTAAGAATTTTAATAATATTTATGTATTAATACTATTAGTGCTCTAGATTTGTGAAGAAACAATTTTGTAATTTATTTTCTTTGCAGAAATGTTAATAACTGCCGACGATGAGAAGTTACGGGATCCAGAAGGGTATGAAGCTATAGCATTACTGCACCATCAAATGGATGATGATCAGTCTGGTTCTATCGATCGATCCGAATCTATAGATGTATTCTTACTTGTTGAGATGATTGAGTTTTATTTGATTAGTTTTAGTTTTTTAAGAAAAATAATTTCTAATTTCAGTTTTTAAAAGAAGATATGCAGTTGAGTAGTTCGGATCGTGCGCAACGCGAACGTGCTTTCCATAATAGTGATGAACTGATCACAGTAGATGATTTATGGGATGCTTGGTTTGCTTCAGAAGAGCGGTCTTGGACAAATTCTGATTTAGTTGTGTGGTTAGAAAATATTGTACGCCTTCCTCAGTACAAGGCACTTTTCATTGCTGCAAAGATTGATGGGCGTGCATTACCCAGGTAGTTTGTCGTAAATATCATTTGATTTCCCATGCTGTGTTAATTATTCATTTTATTTATCATTAATTTTTGCTTATTTAGGGATACACTGACACACTTATACAACTCCTTCCTATCCAAAGAATCTTATTTCTGCTTATTGCTATTTCTGTTTCAGTCATAAAATTCTCGCAAAACTTGCTTTTTTTTTGTTTTCGTGTAAAATCAAGGGATTGTTTTATAAATGTAGCATATATCCAATGTGTTATAACAAGTTCAATTTTTTACTTAATTTAGAATTGCTAATTCAACGTACTTGAATGATTTGGGCATTAAGAATCCTGTACATAAGCACAAATTGCGTTTGAAAGCATTAGATGTTGTTCTTTTTGGTTTCAGTGGTAAGTTGATTCGGTCACATAAAAGTTTAAATTAATCAGGTTACGTTAGGATCGTTTATTCAGCTTAAGGTAGTAATTAAGGTCATCTGAAAAGTCTAAGATCAAGTACTAAATTTGCTACAACTACAAATAACTGATAGTATTTGGAATTTTAAGGTGGCAATACTACGTTCTTGAAAGATATTGCTTTATCCTTTTTGATGATTGTGCTTATTACGGTTCTTTTTGTCTTTAAAATGCAGCGAACACGGTCGCAGTTACAAATGGACCAATTAACAATGAAGTTATCGGAACTGAAATCAATGCAAAGTGATTTCGAAGATGAGCAGCAAAAGTAACTTCATTTCTCCCATTTATTTACTATCCTTTGAATAAAAGAATATTTATTAGCGTCTCTCTTGTTTAACAAATATTTTCAAGTAATTTCATCAATATTATACATAGATTGGAGGAAGAACAAAAAAGAAGACATTCAGATGAAAATATGTCAGAAAGCGAACGAGTAAAAACGGTGATTTTTTGCTTCTTAAAAAACCCAAACAAAATTGCAATTTTTTAAATTTTTTGGTAAGTTATGATCTTTTTTGATGCATACTTACAGCTCGAATCACAACTTATGGAAGCTGAACGCCTTCTGGAAAGTTCAAGTTTAGCTCCTCTTGCTCTTCAGCCTCTGTTAAGAAGGTTCGTTGTTGTAAGGGCAACTCTCATAATCATTTTTTTTTT